ACAAGATAAAGGCACTTTCTTTTAATGTATTATCAGAGATGTGTTGAAGTTAATATTTTTAAATTTCCTAGCACTTTCTGAGTATTTCAGGTTCTGTAAGGTGCCTCTAAATTTCAAAATAACAGGTACAATGAATAGCCATTTGATAAATCTTGGAAGGCCTTTCTGGGGTATATTTTATCTAAGAGAATGACGGTAATAACTGAATTAACAACTTTTTTTGCAGAGGGGCTTTCTATTGGTTGGAGAGCAGGCAGGCTCATTGCCCCCCCCCCCCCCCCCCCCCCCCGCCCAGTCCAGAGAACATTCTGATCTGTGCAGTGCAGAGCAGCCTCGGAGGTCCTGATTATCAGAAGCTGGGAGGGCCAGGGTGCCTCAGGCTGGGGGCCTTGGAATCTAGATGCAGGTTTACTGCCCTGCCCCGACTTCCAATCTTCCACCCTATGGAAGGAGCCACTGGGTTCTCAGACGGAGGATTGAGAAACATCCCTCTGGAAATGGCCCAGGATATTCCCTCCAGCACGGAACCCCCTCTCTCTAACCCGGGGCTATGGCCAAACTATTCATTCTGGTACTTAAGACAGCCTGAAGTCATGGGTTCAGAGTGGCTCAACGCTGATCTAGGGGTAGGTACCGCCTAGTGTCCTCAGCTATAGAAATGAATAGACCTTACCTCCCAGGATTCAGGTGAAGCTTCAATAGGGTAGGTTTTAAGCCGCGTGTGCATGGATACACATGCACAAATACACACGCTGGAGGACCATATGATGTGCCAGACTGTGCCTGGCACTTGCCCACAATGCTTCAGGGAGTGTGGGGCACAGGCATCAGCCCTTACCACTCTACATCTAGTGTTCCGGGGTCCAAAGATGGACAGTACAGCAGCTTAGTCCCCTGATTAAACTTTGAGAGAAGTTGGGGTGCCTGGGTGGCTCAGTCGGTTGAGCATCTGATTCTTGATTTCAGCTCAGGTCACTATCCCAGGATCATGGAATCGAGCCCCACATTGGCTCCACATTGAACATGGAATCTACTTAAGACTCTCTCTCCCTCTGCCTCTCTCTCCCGCTCATACTCTCTAAAATAAAATTTAGAGGCGTCTGGGTGGCTCAGTCGGTTGAGCATCTGACTTCAGCTCAGGTCATGATCTCACGGTTAGTGGGGTTCAAGCCCCACGTCAGGCTCTGTGCTGACAACTCAGAGCCTGGAGCCCATTTCAGATTCTGTGTCTCCCTCTCTCTCTGCCCCTCCCCGACTCATGCTGTTTTTCTGTCTGTCTCAATAATAATAAACATTTTTAAAAATTTAATAAAATTAAATTAAATTAAAAAAAATTTTTAATTTGGAGAGAAGTCACATACGTAAAGATGTTAGCAGCTGGCACCTAACAGGCTCTGATAAAATGTAGCTCATTCTGCTCTCACAAGAACGCCAGGAGTTAAGGTGCTCCTATATGTGTTTTTTTTTTCTTTTTTTAATGTTTATTTATATTTGAGAGAGAGACAGACAGAATCTGAACCAGGCTCCAGGCTCTGAGTTGGCAGCAGATCACATGAGATCAGGACCTGAGCCGAAGTTGACGCTCAACCGACTGAGCCCCTGGTTTTACAAACAAGTAAAATGTGAGACTCTGATTCAAGCTGCTGATCCAGAGGGACAAGCCCAGGCTCTGGCCCACGACTCTTCATGCCTGTCCAAGCTCTTACCCCTCCTCAGGGTCTGTGTAAAGATCCTACCGCTTATCCTGGGTGTCAAATCCAACCTGACCATAACTGTAGGAAATGCACATGCAGGGCTTCCTGGGGGCCAGGCGCCATCTCAAGCACCCACTCAATCCACCCTACACACATGGACTGTTGTTTTCGTTCCAGATAACAGATGGGAAAACTGAGGCCCAGCGAGACTGTGGACCCCGCACCCCCTGCACAAGGCTCGTCAGCAGAGTCAGGTCTGCACCTCACGCAGTGTGGGTCCAGAGTCCCCTCTCGGCCCTGATGCCCCCCTGCAGCGTCTAGACAGGGTGCTCCAGCGCGTCAGCGCTGACCAGGGGCACGGGTGCTTTCACCATCAAGGCTTTGCCACTGTGCCTTTGGCAGAGGGGTCCCGCTGGCCTTGCTAAGAGGGTTACAGACCCAGAGACTCCAGGGACACAGCCACCACCAACCCTTACAAAGGCCACGGTGTGCTTTAATATCAGCAAGGCGCTTCCTGACCTTGTCACAATGCATAGGTTTTTAAAAGCACTGTCAGAATCACCTAGAAACAAAGATGGGACATCAAGGTATCACAGGGGCAGAAGCAGCGATCTCCTTCCAGACCCTGCCACGACTCAGGTAAGCAGTCGGCTGAAACCCCCCAGCTCATGCCTCCCCCAGACCACTGCCCCCCGCCACCCCCACATTGACTGCTGGTGCCATTACCCCACCTTAGCCTACAGGAGGCCAGGAGAAGGAATTGCCTTGCTTGAGATAAGAGAGACTTGGCTGCAGAACGTAGAAAGACTCAGATAAATGTCAACGAGAACTGAGAACAGGTCAGTGCCGGGCAGGAAGGAGGCTAATGCGGAGAGGAGGTCAGGGACAGGCCAAAAATCATTACGTGCAGCTGTCACCCACATGGGAAGGACAGGTCCATGCAATGTGTGACACAAAAGCAGAGCTATTAGGGCTCAGCTGTGGAAAACAAAGAAACATACAAAGTTTTTATTCATCTGGCTTTATGGTTTCCCTTAAGGTGGTTTGTCCCTGGTTTGTCCTGCATGCAGTGTGTACCTGTGAGTGTATAAAGGAGAAACAAAATGACAACTCAAAAAAAAAAGAATCTTTTAATAAAAATTACTCATAAAAATCCTAATAAATTTCGAAGAACAAGATATTTCTTAGTACATTTATAAAAGAACATTTGGTCCTTTTACAAAAAGCTCCCTCTTAATTTAAATACATTTCTTATTTACAGATTAAACATAAAATATCATCTATAGTTGCAAAGCATATTGCACATTACAGAGAAAGAAGCATGTGGATATTTCAATTGGTTTCCCCAGAGTTTCCAACTCCAGATTTTTTTTTTGTAAAAACCTTTCTTGTGCATAATAAATAAAAATGCAGCTTGTGTTTTGCTATTTAAAACTAAAATACTTTTTAAAAAATAGTATTTCTCTGCCTCTCAGAAAGAGGGAAAGAGGGTAAGGAATCATGAAGGTCCACAGGTACATTTTCCCGGATTCAGGTCCAGACTCCAGCAGGAAGAGAACCCTGAGCCCTGCCCGACCTGGGGACACGCAGCCCAGCCACCCACCTTCTCTCTGTCACGAGGGTCCCTGCCCTGCAGGGAAGAGGCACTAGAGAAGGAGTTGGATGTCTGGGAATGAAAAGAAAAGCCCAAGATTTTCTTCAGAAGTCCCTGCTCAGGCACTCTGGTTACAGCAATCATGCACCCTACCTTTTCACCACTAAATCTTAAAGTGTCAAAAGAGAAAGACCCCTGGAGCCCTCCGGAAAGAAGAAAAGGATGTCTGATAAGTCCACAGGGTCCAAAGCAAAGGATTACTGTTTGCAATCATTCAGTAAACTGAGCTAAGAATATAGCTAAGAGGCTATTTTTCTTTGGCGGGGGAGGGTAGGGGAGGGGGGAAGCACGTTCAGACCCTCGGACTGTATACAGACCCTCCTCTAAAATTCACCTGCACAGACACCACCGTGGTGCATAAACACACACGTCCGTGACTTGTGCGCGGCCCCGCCCCGCCCCGGGACAGCCTGGGAACCTGGGACTCGGTGGCACAGACCAAATTCCGGTCAAAGAGCTGGAACTGACGCAGGACAGATGTGCAAATGGTTCTTCCCGAAAGCCGGCACAACTGGAAGCCAGACTTCCTTCGTCACCTACTCCTCAGGAAAAGGAGTTCCCTGATCACACGGAGCCGGAGCCTGACGTGTATGGATCTAGAACTTCGTGGGAGGAGATTCAGACTCCACCCAGCCTAACTATAAGGCAGCTTTCTACAGCAGTTCTGTGAAATCCTCCTCCTCGTGTCGACCAAAGCAGCCTCTAGACACTAGCTACACAGGGGACCGTGAGGGTGGCACAGGCTGACAGCTCTTCCAAAGGATGGCACTTGTTCAGAAGCAGGACGGTCCTGGGGCAAAGCTCTGAGCAAAGGAACTTCTTCGACACTCCCCCCGCGGCCCTTCCTGCAGCACAGAATAAAAGACACACCAAGGCCCTGCAAGATAGAACACAGCTGTGGACATTCTGATTTCCAACCAGAACACAAGCCAGCTTGGAACTTGGCTCAGAGACCCTTCCTTTCTGGGCTGGCACTAGACAGTAGTCTGCATCCAGCCCCACAGATCACGGACGAGGCAGCATCACTCTGGACTGTGCAGTCTGCAAGCTCAACAACCAGGCTGAGTCTGCAGTCACTCGCTCACCCTCAGGCTCACCAATTGGTCCAAGGCAGCGCCCAGAAGTCAAGAGGGTTTGAGACTTCCTACAAGACACATCTGGGCCGGCCTCCGGGCCCTGGGGTGCGTCAGTGGCACTCGGGCACAGATCCCCATTCCTGAGCACGAGGTTGGCTGCAACGCCAGAGTGGGTGACACGGTAAGGGCCTGGAGGAGAGGGTAATGTAGGAATGCCACACCTCGATGTTGTCACAGACGCTGGAGAGGGAGCCCAGCGAGGCCACGAGAGAGAGCAGATGCACGGAGGGTCCCCTTCCTTTCCCGACAGGCCCATCCTCCCAAATGGGACATTTGTAGTCCCATCTCCATGTGCCTGGAGAAAAGATGCAGGGACGCTTGGGCCTGTGAGCACAGATGCGTGTAAAACGGGGCATGCTTATTCGACCGAGTCAAAGAAAACAAAATATACTCTCAAAGGCAATTCTCTATTCAGTAGATAACACAAGGTCAGTAAAGAGAATGCCTCTGAAATGAAGGAAAACGGTAAAACAGAGCATTTGATTTTGTTTACTTCATAACAACTTGCATAGTAAATATTTAAAAGATGGGGGTGACACGTTTATTACCGAAAATCCTTTTTTAGAAAATCTCCAGGAACTGAAGTCTTTATCTATTTAAAAAACAAAACAAAACCCAGTAACACTTAAATTTTCAAGAAGGAATAAATAAAATCTTTCCCTTTGATATGCAATGGCTTAGACACACTTACTTCTAGTTTTTAAAATGATGAAGACGAAACGGTTTGAAGGGTACAAGCAGAGACAGGTGAGCGACATGACAGGTGAGGCTGGGGGTGTTTCAGAGACTTCCCAGCCTTTCTACTGGGACTCATTTTAACCTCAGATGTTACACGGAAGCCAGGCTGAGAGTTCAAATCCACCTCTGCTTTGTATGACTATTCAGTCTGACTTCAAAGACAGAAACTTCTGCTCTGGCTAAGAAAATAACAACAAAGAAGGCCTCTGAGCACAACTTCCTCCTAATGGAGGTTTGCTTAAAAATATCAGGCTGAAAGGCAAGGACCGGTCAAGAATGTTCCAGTCTTACTAATACTCATCCCATCCCCCGTTCACTGTGGTCCCACCGCATGGCGATACAAAATGAGCCTGCTCCAAGCATGCCAGCAGCCGTGACAAACGGTGGCCCCAACCAAAATCGAATAAGGCACTAATCTAAAGCCTGTGTTACACAGAGAAACGGCTCAAGGGTGCCAGAGAGTCATCTGATCATTTCGTTCTCCCTGACTTAGCTAATTGGCACTCGACACAGAAAACAAAAACAAAACACACAATTCTAACCCAAACACGGTCAGAACTGAGAATCCTTGGTTAGTAAATATGAGACGGATGGAAGCGCAGACATTCTTGGGTATTTCTCTCTCCCTAAAAGGCACCTGGTTCTGGAACTATGGGAGTTCCTCAGGTTAAGTTCAAGGTAAATGTAATATACCCTCCAAAAGATCTGGCCTTGGGACAACTTAAGAGACTGCCTTTAGAAATTCAGATAAAAGTTATTCATAAGCAATTAACTCATTAACACTGAACATTACTTGGTATGCAAATGAATAACTGAAGGATTTTCCCCCTTGTGATCCCAAATCATGGGTGGATGGAGAGCCAATTATCTAGTGAGAGAGAGAAAGGATAACAAAATGCAATAAATAGGGATGATCCTCAGGCCCTTTGCATGGAAATTTCGTTCACAGTCCTCTAACAGAGAGGTAGCAATACTGTGCAGTCACGACAAGTGCCAGACACGGGAACACACTTGTTGGGTTTTCCAAAGTGTGAGGCTAGGAAGATCCATCCAGAGATGCCCATCCGCACTGTGCTTATAACATCAGCATGTCGTAGGAAGCCAACTTCTATGTACCTTCTTCCTTCAGATTACATCCTTACGAAAAACAGGGCATTTTATTGAACAGAAGAGGAACACTAACGTATGCACGATTCTGCTAGACGTGTGTGCGGAGCCGGAAGGAAATGCCGACACCACCACGGACGGCCAGACTTCCATCCTCGTCCACTTCGGAACGGATCTGGGCCCGGTGAGGCTCCAGCTGTTTACATCCGGTTTCCGACTCGGCCGCAAGGAGGACAGCAGATCAAATCAAGCCAACCATCTGGTCAATCTGTCGCATGTAGATACTCTTTAAGGGCAGGGAGTATCTCCTCTCGTCAGGAACACGATTGCACTAGAAAGAAAATAAAAGAGGGAAAATGTACACTTCGGATTAAAAATCCAGGTATTAATTGCTCAGCAAATGCGGGTGGATGACCCAACCCGGGGGTTGTGGATCTACTCAGTTTGGCATCAGGGCGTCGCATGCACCGCAGAGCGGCTAGCAGTGACCCTGGTCTCTCCTGCTAGACACCCCCCAGCCCCTGCTCCCCTAGTTGTGACAACCAACATGGCCTCCAGACTTTGTTCAGTGTTCTGGGAGGAGCAAACCACGCCAGTTGAGGACCACTGATATGATGCGGAGCAGCTAAAACACATGCACCCTGGCGCAGAGTAACCAGGAAGAAAAGTCCATCCCCTCGGGGCCTTCATTTAATCCGCCCCCCAACCCCTGCCTGGAATGTCAGGTAACACTTCAGCTAGTTGAAAACACAGCTGGCCCTTGAATGCAGGGCTTCGGGCCCTGAGCCCCAATGCGGTCGAAGCCCACATACCACTTCTGCCTCCCTAATGACTGACAGCCCACTGCTGACCGGAAGCCTTACTGGTAACAACAGTCCATTAACACGTATTTTGTTATGTTGTATCTATTACATACTCTATTCTTACATTAAAATAAGCTAGAGGATAGAAAATGTTATTAAGAAAACCATAAGGAAGAGAAAATACATTTGCAGGACTGCACCTTATTTATCAAAATACACCTGCATGCGGTTCAGACCTGTGTTGTTCAAGGGCCAACTGTACTGTGGTTTTTCTGAGTTTACGGTTCTTCCCATCCGTAGCTAAAAGCTTATGAGACCTTTTTTTTCTTTTTAAGTAAAAGACCTGTTCCTCCTTCAAATGAGATGTGAGACCGTGAACCAAACACGATTATCTGCAAGCGTATGGTCATTCCACACCTGTTCCCAAAGAAACACATTCCCGCTGCTCTGTACTTGAACCTACCACACCCTGCTCTCCATCCTTGTGAGATCAAGGCTGGCAGGTCCTTCAGTGGGTCCCAAAGCTCCCCAGTCATGCATCGGTAGGTGCTCTTCCCGCTGCCTGAACACCCCTTCCTGGGAACGTTCTCCTCCTTCGAGGGACTTCTGAAAAGCAACCTCCACGATGAAGCCTTTTTTATCTTCCCTGGCAGATTAGCTCATCTGTGTTCCAAGAGCACTTCCCGCACGCGGCGCCTCACTGACAAACACCTGGGCCAGGAGCCGGCTGGGACCCCCCGACACACCGGCACAGGACCGGACCAGGTCTGAGATGAGTCTCCTTCCAGCCCGTGTTGTGGCTCCACCTGGCAACCTGAATCTCTCTGCGCCCCGCCTTCTCCCCTTGTCACTGGGGCTACCAAAGCAGCGAAGCTCACGAGGCTGCTGTGAGATGCTGACCCACACGGCCACCTGGAAAAGAGGCTGCGGCTACTGTACGCATTGCACACAAACGGTGACTGTTATTAATACCTCTCTCCTCCTAACTCTCCTCCTTCCCCTTCCTTCTCGATTCAGCTGTGTTACCTAATCTACACTCCACAGCCTTATGGACGTTTGGGGGACTTAAGTACGCTCTGGCCTGTCCACACAGTTCACAGACTGACGTAAAGACCTTCAGTGGGACCATGAAGGCGCCTGGGACGAAGGAGTGCCCCCCACGAAGGTAGTGTGGAGACAGGTAGTAGGAATCTTGACAACAGAGGCTTCTTCTGAGAAGAGAGGGGGTACCCACTGCATTGCGCGGGGATGCGGTTTGATATCTCAGCTGACGCAGCGTCTCTTTCCCCATCCTCACTTCCAAACCATCCTATTTGCTTCAAATCAAAACAACTAACCTAGGACTCCCACCAGAAACTCGGCAACTCCTTTCCACCTCTTTCCCAGCGCTTCTTAGGATGATGGAGGCATGCTTAGTGATGCCCTGCTTTTTAAATGAAGCGGGGTTCCTCTGCACCTCAAAGAGCATTTCATTAAAAATCACAATGACTGACGACTGCTTTCTTCCCTCCCCTGCTGCTCGGTGATCTGGCTGGATCGCTTCCATTTGCCCTTCCAGATCACTCTCCCGCCTTCCCCATCCTGCTCTGGCCTGAGGCCAGCCTAGCAGATGATCCTGAAAGGTCGCAAGGTCGCAGTGGCCTCTGGCTTCTGGCCGGCACAGTCAAGCAGAAGCTCCAGCACATTAGAAGGAAGGTGAATGGTCGCGGTTTCCTCTGCTGGCTCCCGTCCTGCAAGCTCGCTGAGGCCAGCTCAGCACATGGCTTCTGCCAGGAGACGGCCCCGCCAGCACGCCTGTCCCCACGCAGGTTCCTGCGGCCACGAGCCCCCGCAGCCGGGGCAACGATGTGCCGCGCCCGTGGCTCCCTACGCCCTGACGCCATCTCTACTCCCTACATTAACGGTCCTTTGTGAAACTCTTCTCAGACGGCCCAGTCTAAGTGTGTCACCAATTTTCTGCCAGGGGCTCTGGATGACAAATTTGCATTACTTTCTCCTCTTCCACCCGCGAACCACCCCTGAAGAAAGTGACTTACATTGGAGCTGGAGTTGATGACCTTTAACTCAGGAGATTTAGGCCTGTGCACAGACTTCCCATCTTGGTCCTCCCCTCCCTCTTCAGAAAAGAATTCCTTCCAGGGGGACTCCCGAAGGTGTTTGTCCACAGATACAATGTGTCCCTCAGTTGTAAACATGTATTTGGTCCCAGATTTGTGGACTGGATTCTCCTCATCAAATAGCTAGTGGGAAAGGGAAAAAAAAAAAAAAAAAGAAAAGAAAAGACAAAAGATACAACTGGTAACAGTAGCATTTTGGGAACTAACTCCTGTGACAGAGTCCCAGGACTACTCAGGGAGTAGAATTTGCTGGGTCCTCAGGCTTTTCTGTGACAAATGGGTGAAAAGGTGGTTCCCAATTCTGGCCGCAACCGGTTTTGTTTAGACTCAAATGCCTGAAGGTCTCCCACGCCATCCCACCCTGCTCGGGCTGAAAGATTCAGAAATCTGAGGGCCGAGACCCAAACCTGCACAGTCTGTAAAAGCTCTCAGGATGATCTCCCCCCAGAGGCTCCTCCGAGAGTTCTGACACTGGAATTCTAGAACTAACACCCACCTCACACACACCTAGGCACTAACTGGAAAACGCTGGAAGAGGGAGGCACTCGCTTTACCCTTCGTTCTATCCCAGGGCCTGGCACAGAGCCCGACGCCTGTGTCACCCTCCCGTTGCCTCCTGTCAGAACACGGGCCAGGCTTGGGGCGCCTGGGTGGCTTAGTCGGTTAAGCATCCGACTTTCGCTTAGGTCATGATCTCGCGGTTCGTGGGTTTGAGCCCCGCGTCGGGCTCTGTGCTGACTGCCAGCTCAGAGCCTGGAGCCTGTATCAGTCTGTGACTCCCTCTCTCTCTGACCCTCCCCTGCTCACGCTGTCTCTCTCTCTCTCTCTCTCCTAGAAATAAATAAAAACATTAAAAAAAAATTTAAAAAAAAGAACACGGGCTGGGCTCTGAGGACGGAGGCACACAGGGCAGTGCCTTCCTTCCAGGAAGCATGTGGCAGGAGCATCCAGAAAGAACACCTAACCGAACAGGGGCAGGTCGGTGGGTGGAGAAGGCAGGTGTCCACTAAATGTTAAGTGAGCAAACACTCAGAACAGGAATCTCAGTGACGTAAGAAACCTGGCAGTCGCCTGAAATATTCTACAGACACAGAAGACTCAGCACAGCTGGTCTGTTTCCACAGCTACCGGGAGAATGGGGTAGGCCCAGGGTGTCCGCCCCAGAGCCTGAGCTCTTTCCTCTGGAACAGCCTAGGGGATCTCCCTCATTCACCCCCTTGAACACCCCAGGCACCAATGGCTGCCGGACGGGGGTGCACGCAGGGCTCCCATCAGCCTGCAGTGGCTGGCCTGGCTCCCAGGCGTGCTCTGGGAGGGAGCCCTAGGCCCCCACAGGGGTCCGACAGCAGGACAGCCACCATGCCACGGGCTATGTGGCCTGCTGGGGGACACGGCTCCTCTGCAGCCTTCTGTGAAGTCACGCCTGATTAGACTAGAAATTCCAAACCCTGGCTTTGTACAGAATCACAAGCCCCTTCTCAAAATTACAGATTCTTGAGCTCACTTCTAAATCTAAAATCTAAAGGTTCTGATTCAATAGGGCTGTAATTTTAACAAGGGCCCCAGGGTGAATCTGATCCAGCTGGCCCCGGGGCCTAGAGACCAGTGACCTCGATAACACAGCCTATCACCACCGCTCAATTATCTTTGACCCTCAGCCTCCTCACCGGTTCCCCACCAGGGAGCCTGACCCTCTGCGCCCTGAGGAAGCATCCTTCGGTATGCAGCCACAGTGAGTACCGTGGCCGGGAAGGCAGGAGAGGAGCTAGGTGCCCAAGTGCACTGCCACCACGCCGTGAGCGGGACAGCAGGGAAGTGGGAAGAGCACTGTAGAAGGAGTCAGAATGGGGAATGACGTCTCTGCTCCACCATGCAATCACCCTGAAAATCCAGGCAAGTCACACCTGCCCTCTCCACGTAGACAGCAGTTCCCGTGAGGAGACAAACGAACACTGACAAGATGACCCCTTCAAGGTTTCTTCCAGGTCCCGTGATTCTGCCGCTCTCCACACACACGAGAATGCGGGGGCCTCGGCCAAACTCCCACACACTGAGAGACGTAAGAGCTATAGACACTGCTCTCATCCTCGAGGCAGCCTTTCCCGAGCACCAGGGCTCCCGTGAGTGGCCCCTCTACTAACCGTGACCGGCACGTCATTCACTGGTTTACTGGACGATGTGGCCCGATGAGGTTAGAGACCAGGGTGTGGAAGACAGTACGCTTTGGTTTGTGCAGTCTGTGTCCCTGGTCAGCACATGTGCAGCCCGGAGCAGTGCCCAGGGAGGGTGTGCTTAGACAGAAGTCCGAATGAACGCTTGCTCCCAGCAGTGATCGACATTTCCCGGGGTGGGGCGTCCCGGTGACTCAGTCGGTTAAGCCTCTGACTCTTGATTTCAGCTCAGGTCAGGATCTCACGGTTCGTGAGTTCAAGCCCCACACAGGGCTCTGCACTGGCAGCATGGAGCCTGCTTGGGGCTCTCCCTCTCCCTCTCTTTCTCTCTCTCTCAAAATAAATAAATAAATAAACATTTGAAAAGAAACACAACCATTTCTTGCTTATAACCTCATAAAACACATACCAGATACAAGTATTTACAGGTCTCACTGAGGAAGAAGCTCTCCATCCGGTCCTCTTTGGATTTGTCTATGACGTGATGCAACGTAGCATACCCACACCTGCAGAACAAACAATTCTCCCCTTAGTCCCGCCTCTGCCCCTTCCTACTCGCTTACTAATTTAAGAAACGGAAATTAGTCTATTAACAGAATAAGCAGCCAAATGATCAAATGCCATATGAAAAGCAAATTAGGTTAGGTTGAGGAGGTATCCTTCTTTAGCCTAAAGATGATGTGCAAATTCATTAACAAGTAGCTTGGCTGCCAAGTCATCAGGTTAGTTGTCGGGGGAAAGAAGGTGGGGGTGGAGGAGGGTACCTGCCAAGTGCTTAGTGGGACACCAAGAAAATGACTCGCAGCAAATTTAGGCCTGAATGAAATGTTTTGTCCCGGTATCTGTAGAACGGACTCATCACTGGATAGTCCAAAATACTATTTTGTAAAAAAAATACTTATAATATATTGCAAGGTGAAAAAGGAGGTCACAAAACTGAAATACAGGTTTTTTTTAATATATACCCATATGAACATATTATATATATAAATATATAAAAAAGATGGTAAGTATATACACTTAAACGTTGACTGGGGTTATCTGCACGCAGAGAATACAGTGATGCTATTCTACCGCCATATTTTCTATACTCCCTTAACTTTTTAGCACATGTATGTGTATAATTGGGAAAATAAGTTACTTAAAAAGAACATACACTGTCTGCTGGGACCAAAGGGAAAAAAAAAAAGGTGAAAGAATAAAACGCAATTCCCATTATAATGGGCCAGTCCTGCCATACACACAGTAAGCAATTTCCCTACAGAATTAACAGTAATGACCTGTTCTATGAGTTAATGTGCAAAGTAGAATATTACCCCAGAACGAGTGAAAATAAATCAAAAGTGGCTGACAGAAAAAGGAAACTCACTTGACTTTTGTGTACTTTTCCAGACTCTGCAGAATATCCATTCCTACATGGAGGTAGAAGGGATTCTTGGTTGCCTAGAGAGAACACGAGAGAATGTGATCCACCAAGGGCCTGGAAAACATGCCATCAACAAACATCACAGCGACTGCAGCAACTTCCCGAGGAGACGAGTCACTGGTGGAAGGCAGGTGCAGCGCCCAGCTCACTTTATCTGGAAGGGTCACAAATGTGAAAGGACTAAGGTGCTCCGTTGCTCACATCAAAGTGCATCTAGAATCTGTTTCCCCTTAACCGGGGCTCAGACAAGCTGGTCCAGGGTAGAACAATGCCCTGCCTGGGTGCCCCTGATCCCAGTTGTGGTCAGAAATGAAATAATGCCTCACTGACAGTACCACAGGTGAGAACAAATCCGGTTTCTATCTCACCTTGGAGCTTTCTAGCAACTCAAGATGCAGGCCCAGGGCAGCAGGATTTTGCCGCTGAGCCACTTAGAGCCTTCTTGGGAAACTAACGGGAACAAGAAGGCTTTCAAACAGGAGGCCCCTCACTTTCCTCTCCAACTGCCCTAGGAACCGAGTCCTTGGGGCCGCTTACTCTGCTGTCACATGCTCTCAGATGGTTTCTTTAGGAAAGTAATTCTCTGAGAAGATGAGACCTGTGCCCCACAGACAGTTTAAAAGTTGGGGATCACCTTTAAGTCGTCCCTAGTGCCAAGCTGCAGCAGCAAACGCAAACCGCTAGGAATGTGGCGGGCTATGCGTGAGGAGAGGACATGGAGAGGCCTCAGAAGGCAGGGCCGCGAAGCCAGACATTTCTGCGGATTCTGAGAGAACAGGCAATGCGAGGAAAAGGCTGGAAATAGGAAAGATGCAACGACAGAAACGAAGAGGTGGAAACCCAGAGGCACAGACCAGAGCTTAGGAGGACTCGGGCAGCTTAGGGGGAGGATTCAGGCAGCTTAGGGGGAGGATTCAGGCAGCTTAGGGGGAGGACTCGGGCGGCTTTAGGGGGACAACCTGGGCGGCTTGGGGGGGACTCAGGCGGCTTAGGGGGAGGATTCAGGTGGCTTTAGGGAGAGGACCTGGTGGCTTAGGGCGAGGACTCAGGTGGCTTAGCGTGAGGACTCAGGCGGCTGAGGGAAAGGATCCGGGTGGCTTAGGGGGAGGACCCGGGTGGGTTAGGGGGAGGACCCAGGCAGCTTAGGGGAGGACCTGGGCGGCTTAGGTGGAGGACTCAGGCAGCACCAGGCAAGATGTCCTCATAGCACATGCAGCCTGACCACCCGCCCAGCTCAGAGAAGCCAGCTCAGAGGCTATGTCTTCCCTCTCCGAGAGGTCACCTAAAACTCATGAGGGCTCTCGTTACACTTGAGGACTATGACCAGGTTCATAGGATTTCTCCCTTTTTCATCTAGAAGCAAAGGGCACCATTAATTTTTTTTTTTTTTTTTAAATAAATCTAAACCACAGTCCTAATCCTACTCTCAGAACTCATGAAAACAAGTATCTTCTTGTGAGGGCTTGCCCACTGCGGGCGTCTGTTATGGGTCAACTGAAGTGCACTGAAGGCCAGCTGTGTAGAAAGCTACCGGGTCTGTGAATGCACGCAGACTCTCCGTGTGCACAGACAGACAGATATCTGCCTCAGACCACAGGGCAGACTTCACAGATAAAATGACACTCCTTCTGGCATTGAATTGCATGGAAAAATGAACACTATATATATTTTTTAAAGTGTTAAACAAAAATAGGCATTCAGATGAACCCCAGATGATTTCCTTTACCAAGAAAAAGAATTCCTTTTGTCTGAATAATTACACAGATCAGGGTTCCACAGCGCATGAGTACAGAACTGTAGCCCAAAAAAGAGTTCTTTGGCCAAACAAATCAAGTAAACACCAAGTACTAAACCCTCTCGAATGTGTAAGGGCATCAGAGAAAAGTCCTATGGTACAGGCACAATCGGCTTTGCAGAAGGTTAGGTTCAAGAACGCATGTGACCGCAGAGGCCTTCTCTGTCCTGTAGGACCCTGAATCACGCTGAACACTGGCAAGTCCACGGTTAGGCAGTAACTGTATCAGACACTATGAAGCACACAATTCTACACCAATCAGCAAGTTTGTGTTAAAACCCAACTACTATGGGTCCTGCTAGCATTGAAACAAAGTACTGGTCGACAAGCCCTAGTACCTGGTATAGGAGATACGTAGATTCCACTAATTCAGGTCTCAGCGGGTAGAAGAGCACGTCAGGAGCCTGTAGCTGCCAGTTATACCTCTCAGGGAGGGCCCCGTAGCGTTTCCATATGGCATAGTAAAAGGCATGGAGGCAGATGGCATCTTCCACGTCTCCTATCAGAACCTGAGGAGCAGACACAGGTCACCAAGGTAAGACTCTTTTCTCAGAGCAGCAAGGCAGAACACAAAGGCCCTGGGCTCTCCCTCTCCCTACCCCCGTCCCCTAGTTCTTATGTGAGCTACAAACACAGTTGGAGACTAAACCAACCCAAAAGGAGCAGTCCAGAAAAAAGGATGCCCTCCCTACCGGACCATCAATGGCAAACTGATGTGACCTGCACAGGACAGCAGGTTAATTGTAACAATGAGCAAAGAAAAAATAATTAAGAGACAGATGATCCAGAAATCACACACGGTTACTTTTCTACCATGGTTTTGCACTTACTTACCATGGCTCTGTTCAGTATTCTGGGGACAAATCTCTCAAACAGAATAACCAAGACATATTGTGCTACTAAGCTCCCAAATCCAGAGGAGCCACAGAATGCTCTGGTATCATAAAAAGAAAAGAAGAAAAAAAAAAAAAAAAAAAAAGACAGAAAGAAAAAGCAGCCCCCAACAAGGAGTGCTTTTTCTTAGCAAACGTGAAAACAACATGCCTGCAGTCCAGGGAAGAAGGCCTGCAGCGAGTCGATCCAAGTGTTCATGAGCTGCCCGCTGAACATGTTCACGTTGACGTAGAGCGGGGGGTCTCCTTCTCCTTCGTTACAGGCTTCCCGACTGAGGGCCCAAGCAGAGCGGTCAGAGGTGAGAAAAGGTGGCTGACAGAGCACCAGCCCTACTCCACTAGCCTTTAACTCAAATGGACTCAACATTAACATGTTCTCCTGACTCATTCTCTTAACCTTTGGAGATCAATTACCTCTACCTGTTCATACCAGGATCTAACAGAAGATAACATGTACCATAGGAAAGAAGTTCCAAACTCAGCCAGTATTTTCAGGGATTTCACTCTATTTTGCAGAAAGCACTTTGTATTCTGGCTTTAGAATACTGCTACGTAAATAGGCGTACAGCACAGGTCTTTGTTGGATCTGACCTGAGTGGGGAGGCCTACCCAAAAGAAGAGTCTCTTCTCTAATGAGGTCTTATGCCAGGGGCCTGGAGGAACACATCAGAGCAAGACTCTCAGGGATCATTTCTCAATTTAGTTTGAGACTTTAAAAAGCAAAAAGGACTGAACCCTGGCCAAATGGAGTCTTACTAAAACACAGCACTCACATAATGGGTTCCTACGACAGCTTATGTAGAAATGGGTCCAAGAAAATCCTAGCGTGCACAAACTCAGCAGCTATCACTTGCATTGGACATTTAATATAACAAAGTATACAAAGAAAGACCTAAGGAAATGAGGTGACATCAGGGTAGAAGCTGCTGTAGCTTCAAATAGCACTTCTCTCCTGCCCTCCTGACTGTACAATTGGATAGTAGCAAATAATGGTGTTTTAAACAAACAATAAACAGGGCAAGGTGTGTGTGTCATAATTCTCCCTTCTCTCATTAGGGATAAAGACCAATCCTGACATTCCTTTGGAAAGGAAAAGAACTGAAACAACTCAGTAACTGTCCTGTATTACAGCTCTATCTGCAATTAGAGCTACAGTGAAACACAGGCCTATGTCACTCCCTGTGGCAGCCAGTCTCCACGATGGCCCCCAAAGATCCCTGACTCCTGGCAATCACAAAGGAGGTGACTCTATGGCCCCTCCCACACTGTATCAGTGTGGGACCTACAGAGCTGGGTGGAGGTGTTGGTTCATCATTCCAAAATTACGTCATGGAAGCACACTTTGGGTCTCTCTTTCTAATCTCTCTCAGATCACTCACTCTGGGGGAAGCCAGCTGCCACAGACCTGTCTACAAAGAGGTCCATGTGGCAAGGAGTTGAGAGCCAACCAGTGAGCCAGCAGGGAATGCAAACCTGCCAACCACCAGCGTGAGCCCTGAAGTGGGTTCTCCAGCCCTGCCCGAGCCTTGACACAGCTGTAGTCCCTGACAATAGCCAGATGACAAATGTCGTGAGACCCCAGAGCTGCTCAGTGGCTCTTGGCTTCCAGCCCCTCAGAAACTGTGTGAGATAATGCTTGCTATTTTAAGGCACTAAGTTCTGGGGTAACTGGTTATGCCATAGCAGGAAGCCAATCTTGGCCCTCGAATGTATGACCAATGACTAGGAAGTGGTAAGAAGAAGGTAGAGACCAAAAAACCCCGTAAAGTGACGCTGAGAAAAGCAGGGGCGTTTCTGAATACATTCTATTTGTTTCATAGAGCAACAAATGGCAGGAAGACACACCCTCTTCGTAAGTAGTTCTGAATACTCTGATATGCAGCATTAAACATTTCTAGGTCTTCTTTTTCTCCAAAGAGAATGTAAGACTTCAAGAGGTATTCGTAGAAGGAGTCCAGTCCGGCGCCTAAGCCGCTCTGCTTTCCAACCCAGTGGCCCGTCTGAATGTTCACCACGTTGCCTGCAGAAACATACAAAGCCCATGGGGCCCCAGTCATCATGGGGCGGCTCCCTCTCCAGGAGGGGGTGCCCTTCTCCTCCAGCCACATGCTCCTGCACACCCTTGCCCTCGGCAGAAAAGGGAAAGAACGAATGCGTGGCCCTCACAGGGCCCGGCAGCGGCACACACAGCCAGCAGACCTTTCTGAATATATGGTGTTTAAACACTGGCACAAAAATGGGGAAAACATTTAAGGCAAAAGAAAAATAAGTTTGTCATTTTGCATTTCCAGATTAACAGTGCATTTCAAATACCAAATGAGTATTCAAAGCCTTTGATGCAGTACTGTCAATCTTGGGAATTTATCCTTAATGGAAAAAAAATATTTTTAAGACAAAGTATTATGTTGTTTTCAAGAATGATGAATTGTATGATTTACATTATCTGTAAAATGGAGGAAAAAGAAAAAACAGAAAGAATCCAAGTGTCCAACACAGGAGGATTAATAAAGTAGATGTAGATTTTAAAGATAATAGCTAAAAAGACAAGTTAACAATATAAAAATGCCTGAACTGCCAAATGTGAGGCAGAATAAAATGATCATTTATATTTTCAGTTGAAGGTATATAAACCTTGCAAATGCCAGGCTGAAAAGACCTATGGGAAATTTAAAAGGTGACAATTTGTGGTGACACTGGTCAACCATTTGGTGATGGGGTGACAACTTGGGCAACTTTTTTATTTCTACCACGGTTGTTAAATACAACAAATTTGTAAATAAATTTCAGAACTTAAGGAATAACCAAAAATCACTTTTGGGGCATCTGGTTGGTCAGTCAGTGAAGTGTGCAACTCCTGATCCCGGGGTCATGAGTTCAATCCCCAAGCAAGGCACAGAGATTACTTAAAAAAAATCATTTTTTAAAAAGCAGTGTTCTTATTAGGTATTTACCCGAAGGATATAAAAATGCTCCTTCCAAGGGGCACATGCACCCCAATGTTTATAGCAGCACTATCAACATCAACCAAACTATGGAGAGAGCCCAAATGACCACTGACTGATGAATGGATAAAGAAGATGTGCTATATATACACACACACAATGGAATATCACTTGGCCATCAAAAAGAAGGAAACTGCCGGTTGCACTGACATGGATGGAGCCAGAGTATATTACGCTAAGTGAAATAAGTCAGCCAGAGAAAGACAAATACCATATGATTTCACTCACATGTGGAACTTAAGAAACAAAACAGATGAACATACGGGAAGCGGGGAGAGGAGAGAGGGAGACAAACCACAAGAGACTCTTAAATACAGAGAACAAACTGAGGGTTGCTGGAGGAAGTGGTTAAGGGCTGGGCTAGCTGGGTGATGGCCACCAAGGAGCGCACTTGGGATGAGCACTGGGTATTCTATGTAGGTGATGAATCCCTGAATTCTACTCCTAAAATCAATAATGCCCTGCATGTGAACGAACTAAAAAATAAATAAAAAGAAAAAGCTGTGCTCCTGCAATGACATTGTATGGCCCTAGGAGAACCAATCAAGTTACTTCTCAATGACAAAAAATTTTTTTCTCTATATAAGTTTAAAATAACATCTTGAGTTAGCAAAAACTAATAATTATCGAAGATGAATGATGAGTCCATAGGGATTCATTATTCATTATCCTTTCTCCCTACTTCTGCATGTTTGAAATGTTCTGTAATAATTTTTTAAAGATTTATTTTTAATAATCTCTACACCCAATGTGGGGCTCAAACCTACAACCTCAAGATCAAGAATCGCACACTCTACCATCTAAGTCAGCCAGGCACCCCCATAATAATATCTTTAAGTTTATTTATTTATTTTGAGAGAGTGTGTGAATGCACGAATGTGAGCATGAGAGGGGAGGATTGCGGGGGAGAGGAAGAGAGGGAGAGGAGGAGAGGGAGAGGAAAGGGGGGGAGAGAGGGAGGGGGAGAGAGAGAGAGGGAGAGAATGAAGCCCAGGCAGGCTCCACGCTGTCAGCACGGAACCCAAGTGGAACTCAAACTCCCAAGCCTGTGAGATCATGAGCTGAGCTAAAATCAAGAGTCAGATGCTCAACCAACTGAGCTGGCCAGGTGGCCCCATAACTTTTGAAACTTTTTTAAAATGTTTATTTATTTTTGAGAGACAGACAGACAGACAGACAGACGGTATGAGTGAGGGAGGGACACAGAGAGAGAGTGTCAATGAATCTGAAGCAGGCTCCAGGCTCTCAGCTGTCAGCACAGAGCCTGATGTGGGGTTCAAACCCACGAACTGCAAGATCATGACCTGAGCCAAAGTCAGAAGTTTAAATGACTGAGCCACCCAGGTGCCCCACCCCATAGTTTTTTAAATAACATCTTGACCAAACATTCACAAAGAAAAAAAAAAATCCACCTAATATAGGTTTAATCTGGCTTTTCAACCTCCTACCATGTGCCTAGACTCTTTTAAAGCCACTCTACCAGTAACTCTAAATTCCTGTATTTAGAGCCTTATATTGAAACAATATAATCTGCCTTAGAGGCAGTTCTTACAGCATTTCCATTAACAATTATCTTCAAGTGGAACTGTCAAAGGATTCAAATCAGAAAGGAAACCTCACACAAGCAAAAGCATTATTCCCCATCAAACGTTACAGCCTCACTTTAAGCAGAAAGTCCCACAGAGAAACTGAAATGGCAGACACTGAGGGCTGTTCTTTCTGAGGCGTCAATTGTCAGATTCGAGGCACAAGACAGAAGGAGTGGAGGAGAGGAGAGCCTCAGAGAAGAGGGAAGGAAGGGGGGCCGTATGTACACAGTCCCTATGGCCTGAGAAGCTGCCACCACACCTAATAACCCCGTATCATTGCTCCGCAGGTTCCAAAGGGCTTTCACAGCACGTCGGGCCACCCACTCGAATGTAGAATCCCCCAGGAGTCGGCTCAGAATCCCAAATTCCACCAGGAGGGAGCCAGCTCCTGCCGTACAGGTCTCATTATTGCTGTCAGGAGGGACACCAGTCTTTAGATTCACCTGGGGACAGGAAGAGACAAAGGATTTGTGGCTTAAAACTTAAGGAACCCTCAGGACTAGAAGGCCAGGTCACAGCCCCCAGACTCCACTAATGACCCACACTTACTGCAGTGTGACTCAGCTCACCACTTTGCATGCCACACCTACAAGACCATAAGAATACCACCACCTTGTTTTAATAAGTCTCAGGGGAATGGTTACAATGCTATTCATTGACCCAGCTCCTTCCAGCAGGTTCTCTTCATCGTTACAGGGCATCAGGCTTTGGCATTAGAAACAAAGGTCTGTTGTAGAACCCCTTACAGAATTTAAATGACCTACTAGGAACTCACCCCTGCTCAGCAAACATAAACAAATGGCAGACTGGGAGGGAAAAGGAGACAGGGAGAATGTGACAGGCTGTTTCGTCCCTGAGGCTCTGCGGTCTGGCAAATTCTCTGCCGGTTACCTAAAGGGCTGACTCAATATACCCAAGGGAGTTCTGGGCTCAGCAAATCGGGTGCCACAAGGATATAATCACATTCCAGATCTTGCATGTAAATCAGCAGCTAACTTGCTGGGCTGTGCAGGCTTTTATGTGAAAGATCCACATGAAGCATCCCAAAGAACACTCACCAGGACCCTACAGTATACACATGAGGGTGTTGGGGGAAACAAAGACAAATTCCCCAGGCTATTGTGTAGCAGGGGTTAGAAATCTCACATTTAAAAATACTGAGCACAGGAACATTAAGTTCTTTAAGGGAGAGAGTCGGGTGTGTCACTGCGTGCCTGTATGCCGTAGGTGCTCAGTAAATGCTGAACAAATTTAAAAACATCTGTATCACATTGAGAGCCAAATTCTCTCTAGGCCACAGCTTTCTTCTTTCACATCACCTCCCTCCTTTCCCCAAATAAAATAATCAAAAGAGTCTTACTTCTGGAAGATGCTGAGATGTCACACTAGTCTACCTACCCGAGGATAGGGGATTCCTGTCTTGGTGTTTTCAAAAGCAGGGAGGAGCCGCACAGCCAGGTCATGAGCCATGTGCAACAATTCATTATCATAATCCTTTATTGTCATGTCACCAAAGGGCTGCTTGGAGTCAGTTATTATTCTGTGGGCAGAAAGGAGGCTTCCTAGGACCCTAGAAGACAAGATGACAAAAAGAACACAAAAATAATAAAATCATGTTGCTTGTCAATGCACACGATCCAGTTCCAAAGAACAGAAGCAGCCTCAAATCCCTCGTGAACTCAGGCGGCCGGGAATCAGAGGGACTGAACTTAATGGCTTCTTGAAGTTCTTTCCAGCCCTAATAATAAACGACTGAGTCTTAGTTAACCACGTTACTGCACAGGAGAAAGAGAACCATTCATCTGGGGCTGCCGAGAAGAATCTCACGGAAAGTAGTAACTAATGGCTGGCATCTCAATCACCTCACCAGAAGGGAGTGTGCTAACCGTCCTCAGAGTAAACATTGCCTTGATACTCTGGATTTCTCTCACATGGGGAAGACACTTAACCATCCAAGAAACAGGAAAGGGCAAGGCAACAAATACGAAGTCACTTGGTCTGGGCTGCCAAACAGCTCAGAAATCGTCCAAATCGTGAGGAGGTGAGGTGAGGAAGCGGAGGAGAGGGTGAGGGGGAGAAAATGACCTGCTCAGGGGCAGAAGGCCACCAGCTCAGATCTGTGTCCCTAAGAGCCAGGAATTTGTATATCACTCCAATGATCTCAAGTACATCGTGACGTGTTTTGGCACAAATGTCTTCGTAACCTGAAATTAATGATACATTTGGAACGGTGTGCAGTAATATAATTTTCAAAAAGTTTAAATGAAATAGTAAAATAGTCACAATATATCAACCTGAAGAGGCAAGAAACAAAAGAGTGTGGAACAGGGAGGGAGTTGGTGAGGCGGGGAGAGAAGAAGGAGTCACACTAAGAGGGAAAAGGGGGAAATACCTCTGTGGGTAGTAGGCAACATGGGAAACTTTCATTTCCTTCAGAAATATGCAGGGGTTTTCCTAGGACAGGGCGAAGGAAGGAAACGAGACAGACACGAAGTGCAGGAGTGAAAATGTACATTAAAAGAACACCTATCTCCCATCCTCATTAAAGCTTAGGTGAGTCTTTCTTTTCAACCCAAAATGTCATTACTTTGAAATGTCAACTGTCTCAATGTTGATAAAGCCCAAAAGGAAGAGGAAAGAAGGACACAGTGCCTGTAGGGTCTCCACGGACTCTCAACTTGGATCTCACAGCTGGGAGACCCTCCCAGAATTTCTCTCCTTCTACACACACAGAAGCAGCCTTCAATCCATTTTACGTACTGTTTTACCTTATTGTGGCCTCGAAGACTTGGACGGTGGAGTCTTTGTCAAATGAGACTGTGTTGATCACTAACTTGACTGCTTTCTGGAACTCAGATGAATTTCCCATTATCTTTAAAAAGAGGAAGACAAACCATTACCACAGCTTGAAATGAAACAAGGCTCCAACATGGCAGGAGCTGGGCCACTCGGCCTAAATGTATGCATGTGGCTTCGCCGCCCATGGGAGCAACGGAAACACAAAAGGCAGAAAAAGCAAAGCTATCTCTTAGAACATACTCCATGATGGACGGCAAGTCAAGAATCCTATCTCCAAATGGAAAAACTGGGAAGTAGTCCCTCAGCAGTCACCAGTACCCCTCACCTTCCCACTTCACTCTCCCTCAAACTTCGGGCTGATCTGATTTAGCATGTAAGGCGCCAGAGTTCCTAAAACTCTTTTAACGTGAGTAAAAATAAATCCCAAAACTGAAGAAACAAAAATATAACTTTCCCGGTGCTTCTCAAATAAATCGGCAGCTTGGGTGCTTGGCTCCCAGGAGATCAAAACATCTGGGGAAAAGGACTTGTGGCTTGTCACCCAGATGCCTGAACACTTTGAGAAACTGCAGCATTATCTTTTGGATGCACAGCATAAAACCCATGGCATTCAAAACAAACAAAACATACAAATAATCAGCTCTGCGTCCTTTTTAAAGAGCGATCTAAAATTACAATTTCTATTTTGGGTGCATGAATATGATCTCATGCCAAGCTGCTCTCTCTTATAGGAAGTGCAAATTGGGCACAAAATGTTACAGATTAACTAAACCAAAATGCTTTCATTCTGTTCAAAAATGTAGGACAATCCTGGTACTACAAGGACATCATGACACACACAAAGGAAAAACAAATAATTTCATCCAGATACTACTTCTTCCATGTGTCTTATTTCCCAGTATTTATTGGCCTAGCGCAGCTTTTTGCCCCCTCTTCGTTGTTCTTTCTTTCGCTGTAAACAGGCAGAACAAGTACAGACGTTTCTTTCCTGACTTTTAGTTCTTTCGTTTCAAAAGATTATGCAACAATGCCACAAGTTGCAGCGAGTGGTCAGGGGACTGCTATCTTCTGAATGTTTCCACAGCACATCTGCTAAAGCCTGTTTAAAATGTGAGCCAGAGATCAAGAAACCCTCAACTGAAGTAACACCTGAAAAATACGCCTGAAATGCTAGCACACTCAACACCGGATATTCTACAATGAAAACCACTGAAGTGGCTTTGTTTCCTTACAGATGTTCACCAGCAACAATATCTGTTAGCAGCTGCAGAGGCTGATACGATCTCAGATCAAGTGGAGCATGGCGAAGAAAGCCAGTGACTTTCAATTACATACTCTAATTTACCCTTTTAGGCAGCTACAGAACAGAGTAAGCAGGTTATGAAATCATTCACTCGGGCTTAAGAAAACGTGGGTTGGTAACAAAGAGTTAAATCAGTTTCTTTACTGCAGAACTTCTCAGAGCCTTTAAAAGGTTGGTATACGTTGTGGGTCTCCAACAGTAGGACAGGCAGACAAAATTTCTCAAGTTCATTTGGGAACGCAAGGCTTCTGTTAGGGAATACACCCTTGGAAATGATGTTGGGAAACACTGGATTTGCAGGAATTCATTCTTTGAACACATATTTGCACTCCTACTAAGTCCCAGACCCCATTAGGTGTGGAGAGTGCGGTGAATAATAGAGATGAGGTCTCTGTATTTAATGAGCATGGCAAGGGGATAAAAAGACACAAGAGAGGTCAGGGAGAAGAGATGTTATGCCTTTCATGACATATCTGAGTTGTGGGACTCGGTTTTAAGCAACGCCTATGGTCTGAGTCAGCCTCTGGTGTATTCAGAGAGTTAACGCCAATTAGGCTGAACATACTTGTCTGGGCACATTGTGATCACTGACGACGGATGACCGAAGCGCAGCAGCAAGAACCCCAGGAGAGATTGGGAAACCAAAAATGCTACGCAACCACAGCCTGGCAGGATGAAAGTCCAGAGTCTCCACAGACCCTGGGCCCGGGAGGACACAGGGTGATTGCTCACACTCTTTCCAAGTTCCAGTGATTCTTTCTGCCGGTGAGACATTGGGCGGCTACAAACTTAGCTGGCATGACCCACTTCTACCCTTGCCAGCTTTGAACTCTTCTCAGGGGCGTCCAAACAGTCATGAGTACATTGTTAAATGCAGTAACTGGGCTCGACTGCAGTAAAAATTCTCTAATGGTAAAGGTGTGCCGGACGGTGAAGAGGAGTAAAAAGGTTGTGAAATCACCTTGATGAAGGAGGTTTTAACATACTGTTCTGGAATACGGTCTCTGGGAAGCAGAGAGCCAAGAAGCAGACCAAGCACACGTCACAGCTCGACGGTTAAGAAGCGTGCCACAGGGCCATCCTGCATTTTAGTGTGCTTCTGCAGATCTGCTCAAAGGGCTCGGTTCCCTGGGCTCCTGGAAGGAAACTGGGATGAGGGCAGATGAGGGCCTGAAGGCCACACCCAAGTTGGCAGCCCAGGAGTGGAGCAGGGAGTGTCTACAAACTATGGAGCTGCACACAGGAGAGGAGGGTTTCTAGGGGTCTCCGCAGGGGCTGGGACCAGGGCCCAGGTCACACTCCTAGGGAGCAAGGAGCTGAATGCTATTTCAGGGGCCCTACCCACCCTGAGCTTATCCTTTACTTCTGAAATCCCAACTACAGTAACTATCTACTGTAGTGGAAGGCTCCATTGCTCCTTCATGGAATAAAACAGTGGGAAACGGGGAGAAAAATATGTTCCCTCAAAATAATGATACTTTCTTCTCCATTTTTCTTTAGGGGAATCACATTTCCATTCCTTTAACCTTGATTGCTTTTCTTGCTCTCAGCATTAAGGTCATTAAAATAAACAATGGCTATCAAGGCTATGAATACATTTTGAATATCAGATTTTCCTGGAATTCCCATCCCTGGTGGAAACTGGGGGTATTCAATTCCAAAATACCTTGGTTAATTAAGAAAAAAAATAAGGCTTCACACTTACTGCAAGTGTATCCAATGCATCAACAAGAGTCAATGAATAATTCCCTAGGACATCATTGATGTTCAGATTTGAACTGAAAAAGAAACAAAATTAAAATTAAACAAAGGTACTTTATATTAAGAGAGAAAAAGGACCGTTAAACTAAACACCCATCAGAAACTAAAGCTGCTGGCGACTCTCATTGATTCAGGGCCGATGACAGGTGGATCAGTATAGCAACGTCTTTCTATGTCACAAGTGACCATTTCTAACAGGCGCACCCTCACACTACTGAGGAAACATATAACAGGAAGTCAGGAGACCGTGAACCAGAGTTCTGTGTCCTCTCCGAGACAGTTTTATCACCACAAAACATCTCTCTGACCAGCTTCAAAAAGCTCTGATTTCAAAATCATTGTTAACGAAAATGGGAAGACCTTGTCATGTGACCTGCCCACGACCCTTTAATACAGAAATCAGATGCTCCAGCAGATTACACACAAAGAGAAATAAATTCCTTCCATTACACTCTCATTATCACCACTGTGCTTTGGTTGGGGGAATAAATTAACCTCTTGATCTCATTTTCTCATCACCATTCATTCAATCAAAGAATCCCCATCACCTCCACCCATTCTAAGGAGATGAGCCATGGTGGCCCCACAGACAACACCGACTTCCCTTTCTGGAGCAATCCGAAGACACCGCCTTCAGGCCTGCAGGGAGAGGAAAGCTCCCTGTCACTCAGCTCCTCATAACACCAAAAGGATGGCGAAGACAATGAAAAACATCTGGGAAGGGCAAGGAGAGAGAAAGAGTGCAGCTTGACAAACTCCGGGGACTTCAGTCATTCCTCTGTCTCATTCCTACCAGCCCAGAAAGCAACTGCAGAAGCTTGAAAAGACTGGAGTGAGGAGAGAAATGGGACAGCTGTTTAAAAGCTACTTTCATTGGGGCGCCTGGGTGGCTCAGTCAGCTAAGCGTCCAACTTTGGCTCAGTTCATGATCTCATGGTTCGGGAGTTTGAGCCCCGTGTTGGGCTCTGTCCTGATGGCTCAGAGCCTGGAGCCTGCTTCAGATTCTGTGTCTCGCTCTCTCTCCCCTTCCCACACACTCACTCCTGCTCTCTCTCAAAAAATGAACATTAAAAAGAATTTTTTAAAAAAATTTTTAAAGGGGTTACTTTTATTGAAAAGCCTTAGTTTTATCTTCAACAACAGATTCACTGAAACTCAGACATCTTCTGCATGCTCCCAGGCCACACTGTAGCTACTCCCTGAGTCATGCGCATGGGGCCTGGTCTCACTTCCCCTGCTCTGGATGGCTTGCTACGCTCTCTAAAAATGTACCCTCCCATGAGCCCTGGTCGGGGTGAGCGGCCTTATGTGAAGTACACGTGGCTTCGACACTTCACATCTGATCTTGTGTGAGCCTTCCACTCGCTTTGTTATGTGCTGTGTTCCCCCACTAAATCTAGGACAAAGAAGTTAGAGCTGGCTTTTAGATACACTTTTGAAAACAAGCCACACAGAACGGGCTATCTAGGAACCTGGGTTATCTTGCCCCTCACAAGCCACGAGGCCAGCACACTGCACGGCTGCAAAACCGCACCTGCTTCTTCTATTTGTAGATTCTTTCTAAATAAATTCATATATTTCCAAAAGGTCCTCTAAAGACGAGAGCTATGGGGTAAAAATAAGCACTTCAAGGCCAGTGGCAACAAGAAAACATACAGGAAATGTCGAAAGTTGGAGGAGAAGGTCAAAGTAGACAGGGAGATCCTGGTGCTTAACTCTGTCAATTCAAGTACATCCTGTTGGGTTTACGTATTTAACTGCATGGCTCTACTGCTCAGAAACAGAGTGGGTTCCAACACCCACCGCATTAGAAAATAGTTCCTTCAGCACGTGGCATCCCAACTAGATGGCGTATGAAACACACACAGCCACCCTCTCCTGAGCTATCCCCTCATCTGGGGCCAATGCCACCCTCTCTACCTGCACAGGCCAGTAGAAGGTGGTACTACCTTTGATCACTGCATTCCTTCACATGTTTTATAATACTTTTCTTTTGTGACTAATAACTAAAATGGACTCACTTTTAACCTACTTCTCAATACGGTGCCCAAGCAGTCACTACCAATTAACAGTTACAAGAAATGCCCCAGTAAGAGAAAATAAATATTTGGAATAACGGAGTTGGTTCCTTCTCTCCACTCACACAAATCCCCCTAAAGGATTTGATTGAAAACTCTAAGGTGTTCATTAAAACACTCTTAATTATTTTCTACCAAGTGATTGCTATATGTCTTTAAAATGTGCCAAAATAGAAAAAAGGAAAGGAAGAGGAGTGGGAAGGAAAATGTAGATTCCATAAAACCCTCCTGGCCTAAAAGCACCGTATCATTGTGATTCTACGTACACCAGCCCAGTATGTAAGTAAGACTATGGTCTTGTTCTTTGTAGGTGTTCTTGACCGATGGCCAGCCTGACTTCGTATCTGCTAAGTATCTCATCTAGTAGAAGACTAGGCTCACAGTACACATCTTTCCACATAACCAGCTGGCTGAACCATCATGACCCAGAATTAAACTCTCCACTTAATTTACCATGTGTGACTGCTCATGGCCTTTGCCCCCCTGTGAATTTTTTACATGTTTATTTATTTTTGAGAGACAGAGAGACAGAGTGTGAGTGAGGGAGGAGAAGAGAGACAGAGAGACCAAGACAGAATCTGAAACAGGCTCCAGGCTCTGAGCCATCGTCATCACAGAGCCTGTTGTCATCACAGAGGCCGTCGTGGGGCTCGAACCCACAAACTGCAACATCCTGACCTGAGCCGAAGTCGGATGCTTAACCGACTGAGCCACCCACACAATCCCACCCTACTGTGAATTTTTAAGGTTCTTATCACTCCAAAACATAGATGCAGAAAACTATACCTTTGACAAAAAAAAACTTTTGACATGTAACTGACAAAATCAAACATATGTTTAAAAAAAAATTCCCACATACACTTAACCTGGACCAGCTGTTCAGAAAGCTACCTGGTGCTAGGTAGACACAGAGGTAATACAAGAAACAGTCTCTGACTCACGGGACTGATACTCTGGGAAAATAAGACAAAGGGAAAGGAAGGTGAATATATAATCGTGCTCAATTGTCGAGTGATGTTAAAATGTGGAACAGCGGCTCAAAGGAAAGGAACTGAAAGGAGAACCAAGTAAATCAAGGAAAATCGCCTTCAGAAATTCAGTGGCATCAGAGAAAAAGTCTTAGGTCCGAGTCTGCAGTGGGACAGACTTTTAGAAAGAAAGACGAACGCAGAGGAAGCCATCTTAAGCTCAGGGTGCCTAGGAATGGGTTGGTTTGGGGGCCAATATCGGTTGGGGTTGTTCACAGATGAATGGCTTTTTTACTTTAACAGCAACAGGACTGGGGAGGAAGCAAAGAAGGGTCATGTGCCCAAGGCCTGAATTATCGTTATTATTCACAAGATAAAAAATGTTAACATTCAAATTTACTTGAAGAAACTTTTTAATTTGGATCCTCCAAACCATACTGGGGATATGAGACTGACTTTGTGTAATCTGTAGCTCAACAGAAAGATTTGCTATTTTAAAGTGTTTGGGTTTCATTTACTTCATGTTAACCCCTCACCCTACCTATAGTTAACCATGGCAAGATATGTGTCAAGTAAACGACTAGAAAGAAAAGATACACACATTGAGCACCCATATTTTGTTCCTGTACTTTTTACATAATATCCTAATATGTACATGCTTTGTCATTCTATACTTTAAATGTATCATTAGAATAGGTTTGATTTTTTAAAATCTGAAAAAATTTTATTGCAGGTTATTTACTTGGGGGATATAACCTATCATATTGTTTCAGAGCCAGAATGTCAAAGCTCTGGTTCTAAACTTTCTTAGAAAATACTAGTCTGGGGGTGCCTGGCTGGCTCAGTAGGTAGAGCACGTGACTTTTGATCTCGGGGTTGTGAGTTTGTGCTCTATGATGGGTATAGAGGTTACTTAAAAAAAAAATCTCGGAGTGCCTCAGTGGCTCAGTCCAACTCTTGATTTCAGCTCAGTTAATGATCTCAGGGTTCGTGGGTTCGAGCCCCATATGGGGCTCTGCCCTGACAACGAGGAACCTGCTTGGGACTCCCTCCCTCTTTTCCTCCCTCTCTGCCACTCCCCTGCTCATGCTCTGTCTCTCAGAAATAAATAAATAAGCATTAAAAAGCATAGAAAAAATCTTTTTTTAAAAAGGCATGATTAAAAAAAGAAGAAAAGATAACACCAGTCTGAAAGGAGATAAGTTAAAGAAAGGGGAGTAAAAAATTAACCTTTCCACTCCTTGGAAGTAGCCAATGTGAGGATCTACTCAAGACCACCCTAACCACAGAGTTCTTCCGTCTCCTCAAAGTCTTGAAAGATTTGTTAACCAAACGGTTTATTAACCTCTGGGCATGACCCTTCCCAAATACCACCGCCTCAACAATTTCAAACTCCATCTTTCCAACATCAATACATGTGTCTCAAAGCAACCTGACCTCAGTTTACCCACACTGCCACTGTACCATCAAACCAACACTCTGAACAGCAGACTTCATCCTGAAACAAAGGCCTGCACCACCCGAAACTACCACAGGGACCAGCAAGGTAATCAACCGCCACGTCACCTTGCCGGAGAGGGGCTCCAATTCCCCAAAGGGTACTAAGCTTCATGAAAAAAAGCAACCAAATGTCATCAACTCACTCTCCAGACCACCATATTCCCAAATGAAAGTGTCACCACAAGTGCTCATTAAACTGCTTTCCTCAGGTCGAAGCCATAAAAGGAAATCTGAGGAAAAAGTCTGGGAGAATAAGGGCACTTGCTGAAAGTACTCTCTCCCTCCTTGTAATACCATGAGCATTAGCGAGAAAATACAATCAAGATAAAAATATGTAGACACACTTTGATTTCAACTATGTAAAAAATGTGTAGGCATATGAGCAGGAGCTGGCAGGAAAAATAAATGTCTGGTGGGGTTTTTGGCTTTTCAATTTTTTCAAATTTTAATGTTTTTTTCCTCCAACAATAATTTAAAAAATGAGATTAACAGAAAATACAGAGGTATAAAGTCTGAGGCAGTTAAATACCAACAAATAACTCATTAATTTCCAAAGATCTGGAAAGGCCCAGCAATTTTTTTCAAAACTTAAGAAAAATTTTTCTCAAAAAAAAAATTGAGATAGAAGACATTTATATGCACCAAGCCTGATACAGTGAAGCAAGAAAAATAACTCATCGGTTTCCTACAATTTTAGAAAGGCGCAGTCCCTTGAAACTAGCCTGGAATGTGCCCTTGCTTCACGAAAACTCATGGTCCTCAAACTGAGATTTCAGATACGACTTTGGAGATAACCAAACCATTTTTTAAAAATCTTCAAGCCCCTTTAGCATATGGGCTTCCTTTTCAGAACTTATGGATGGGACTCTTCTTTTTCCCCAGGTGAAGGACAGTACCGCCTCCCAAAGTCCAAAGGCACCCCCAGGATATGGGGCCACGGCCCTGAGCAGCTCTCCTCTTCCACCCCCAGTACCCAAAGGAAGGCAGTCACAAATGTGGTCTAACAGGGTCAGTGGCAAAGCACACCCATCCCCTCCGGCTGGAAGGTCCTTCGCCGGGTGTGCTGCCCTCTTGGACTCTGATGTCAACAGCAGTGACCTGGAAGCTTGGCCTCCATAGCCAAGGCTGGTGGAAGGGGAGGGCTGGATGGACTTACGTGACAACCGTGCCACCAGAGTGGAGGAATTTATGGGACAGATAAAGGGGACAGTCAATTCAGCGGCCAGGGAATCAGAACCTGAGTATCAGGACCCCAAATCTCAACCAGATAGCCTCTCTCTGCCTCTCTCTCTCTCTTCCTTTCCTGTAAGTATCCTCAGCCTCCGAAGCAGCCCCAGTAAATGAAGGAGAAAGGCTGTAACCCCGCTCTGCCTCGCAGTCACTGCCTGGCTTTAGAGAAGTCCTTTCCCACAATCAACTCTGGAATTTTTATACAGAAAAGCCAGGCGCAGGGAGATAAGAGCTTGTTTTGAAACTGCGTTTTTACAAGGGATTTCATTTCGATTATATGTTCATCTGGAGAAGAGGATGGAGACGAGAGTTAAATGCCCCTGAAGCTACCTCTTGGTACTGCCACTGTCCCTTCCGGGCTCTGAGCCTCAGTTTCCCCATCTGTAAAAGAGGCTGCGCTGGACAGCTGTCCTGGAACTCTGAGATTCCGGGAGAATGGAGTAAGAGGACGCAGCCGCTCGGCCATCCACGCCCCCCACCAAGCCCAAGGGGACCTCTGGGGGGTCGGACCAAGGCCCCAGGTGGGCGGGTGTGGCCCGCTGGCCCCTAAACGCCATGGCATCCGTGGCGGAACCCGGAGGACGGAAGGCTGCACCCTGACCCGGAGGACTCAAGGAAGCGCGCGGGGCGCGCGGCCCGGGGCGTCCGGCCAGCGCCGGCTACTCACGGGTCCCCGCGGTCAGGCCCTCGGCCGCGGCAGTGGATGGGGTTGAGCTCGTCCTGGGGAAAGGCGTGCGCCATGTAGTTGTCGTAGCCGAAGACGAACATGCCCCGCGCCAGGTCGCGCATCTGGGCGCGCAGCTGCGGCGGGAAGGCGCCGCTGTAGCGCTTCTCGTACTCGTCCGGGCCGCGGCCCCGGCCACCCAGCACGTAGCCCCAGTGGTCCGGGCCGCACATGCCCGGCCCGGGCGGCCGCGGGGCCCGCCGCCGCCCTGCTGCCGCCCCGGAGACCGGCGGCTGCAGCCACGACGGCCCCGACGGGCTCCCGGGCGTCCCGGGCCGGCCCGCGGGCCCCAAGGCAGGAGACTCGGGGCCGTCGGGGGCCCTCAGGCGCTGGAAGCCGAAGCTGAGCGGAAAACGCTGGTAGAAGCCCATGCTGGGCCCCAGCCCGAAGACGAGCCACAGCACCCCATGGAGGCCGAGCCGGAGGAGTACCAGCCCCAGGACGAGCGCTCGCCATTGCATGGTCGCGCGGGCGCCGCGGGCATTATTTTAAAGCGCGGGGGACCTCCCCCGCGGACCACCGCACCCCGCACCCGCCCCGTAGCCCTGCTCACTTCCCCTTTAAGGAACTCCCCCGTGACGCACCAGGAACCGGCCCATTGTCCCCCACCCCCAGGCCCCCGGGCCGGCCGGGCCGGCCCCGCGTTCGCCCGCCCAGTCGCCCGGGATTGGCCCGGCCCGGCCCGGCCTCGTGAGGTGCGGCCGGGGACTCCCTCGCGCTCCATAGGCCGCCCGGACTTCCGCAGCGCCGCGAGGCCCCGCCCCATCCCCCGGCCCCGCCCCCCGGGCCCGGCCCCTGCCTCCGGCCACGCCCCCGGGGCCGTAGGAGCCCAGAAGGGCTGGCGTGGCGAGTAGGGGCCGCTCCGGCTACTGGCGAGGAAACTTCCAGCCAATGGGAGCGCGGCACGGGGGCACCAGCCAGACGCCGTTCGGAGACGTGGCCCCCGACCCGCCCGGCTTAGGGTGGAACGAGTCTCACGCCTAGCTGGGCCGGGAGAAAACCACTCCAGCTGTAGGTTAGGGATGGTGCCAGTCAGGTGACCTGAGGAAGGAAACGGGCATTTCCTTATAAAAGGGGCTACTTTTGCGTTCCCAGAGCAGGGTTGTTTTTGTTTGTTTGTTTGTTTTTTTTTTTTAATGTCTGTTTACAGCGGAGGTGGGATAACTACCTTGTAGCTAGCGACTGCACTAACCGGTGTCCCGAATTCTACTCGTTTTATCAGAACACCCTAATTTGTAAGAATTGCTCACTGTGATTGTAAAACACATATTCCCAGATCCCGTCCTAGACCTAGCAAACGTCAGTAGAGGGTCTTGGGAATGTGTGTGTAACAGGTGGTCGTGGGCTGTTCTTAGCATCTGGCAATTTCAGGAAATACTGATTTAGATATATTGCCCTCGTCTCGGAAATAGGGTCTTTAAAAAAAAGAGAAGAGGTGAAAAATCAAGGCTGTCGCCGCCACCAATTTCTTTGTGCCAAATCTATTTAACCATATCCCCTCCCGCCCCTCCTACTCCCACCATCTCTCCTGTGCATCACAGTAGTGACCTAACCTTTAGGGTGTAAGATTCCTGGTCAAATCACTTTACCCACTCTGCATCTACTTCCTATAATTAAGAGGATTGCAAATGTCAGTTCTGAAGGGCTATGACTTTCATGTAAGGATTCAACAGTTGAGAGGTTTTGTTTTCTTTTGTTTGCTACATTTGTAGGTATCTGTTAAGGTTTTCCCTCAGATTTAGACCATATGCTTGTTACACCAGTTTCTGAAAAGCTTAGGAAGGAAAGTCTGATGTATGGCCCACATCAGAGACTGGCTGAGCCACCAAGGGAGTGACTAAGAAAATGATAAAGTAAGTTGTCAAGTGGCACAGTCATCACATTCTCAGAGTCAGGGGACTTATTGCAACACAGAGGAGGTGTAATGGGGACTGAGAAGGAGCCCAAAGAAACATTTCATTACAACACACAAGGGAACTGGCACCTAATATGGCCCTTTTTCTTGGCTGAGAAAGAGCATTAAAGAGTATAAAGAGAGCTTGAGCCATGGTCTTTTGCCTGCGAAGATTCTGCCCTTAGGAAACCTGGGTGGCTCGGTTGGTTAAGTGTCCGACTTCGGCTCAGGTCATGATCTCACAGTTCGTGGGTTGGAGCCATGTGTCAGGCTCTGTGCTGACAGCTAGCTCAGAGTCTGGAGCCTATCTTCGTATCTCCCTCTCTCTGACCCTCTCCTGCTCACTCTGACTCTCAAAAATACATTAAAAAAAAAAAGATTCTACTTTTACTCTTCTGTGAAAGGCAGTTGGGAACCCTGTCAGAAGTCCAATGTCAGGGCTTGACCCTGAACTTTCAGGTCTGCCTTCCGAGAACTTGCAAACTGAATGTGAATATTAAAGTATGCGTTATAGATTTCCTTCTTAAGCTATTTCATTATAAGCAAATTTTAAAAGTTTTAAATTTGATCTTGCACCATGGTAAAGTGTAGACTACATTAATGACAGCTCCGATCCTCACATTTGGAGATGAGCTCTAATTAAAAACAAAAACAAATTTCTCTTCATAACCAGAGAAAACCATCCAACTTCTAAACGGACGTGCTTTTGTTAAAATTTTTAAATGTTTTTTATTTATTTCTGAGAAAGAGAGCGCGTGAGCAGGGGAGGGTTGCAGAGAGAAGAATCTGAAACAGGCTCCAGGCTCTGAGCTAGCTGTCAGCAAAGAGCCCAGTGCGGGCCTTGAACCCACGAACCATGAGATCATGACCTGAGCCAAAGTCAGACGCTTAACCGACTGAGCCACCCAGGCGCCCCCTAAAGGGCCACTTTTTATGGTAAAACGGACAATAGCTGCCAATCAAATATGTCTTATGGTTTTGAAAATCTTTTCCTATGTTATTCTCTTTTAATCTTCACAGAAAGTGAAAGGGAAGAAGGCCCATCCCACAAGCCAAAAGGGAAGAAATCAGGTCAGAAGGCTCAGGTTCTCTGAGCTACTTATTGTAGGCAGATAACAAGCTACTGCCCAGGTCTCTCTCCTCACCTTTAGTGAAATTTAACCCAAACTAATTTGCCCTCAAAGCAAATGAAGACTGGTTTTTCTACTCTTTCCAAGATGTCCCACAGGCAACATTGTTAGTATTAGCTTCCTGCAAGGCACAGTCCAAGATTTAGGGGCCAGGCTGGGAAAGTGTTTCATCTCGAATTAAACTGAACCAAAAGAAAACAGAGTATCTTGTGCTAGCCTTTTAGATTAGCCTAGGACTCCCCTCAAGGTAAATGTATCTGATAATATTGGGACAACACTCCAACCAATCAGAAAATCTCCATCTTAAATCTTTAAGAAACTGTTTCCTGGTAGGTTTTCTGCAAAATCTTACAAAAGTGTCAGGGGACTGATTAAAAAATGAATGAAACAGGGGCTCCTGGGTGGCTCAGTAGGTTGAGCATCTGACTTCGACTCAGGCGATGATCTCATGGCTTGTGAGTTTGAGACCCACATCAGGCTCTGTGCTGACAGCTCAGAGCCTGGAGCCTGCTTCGGATTCTTTGTCTCCCTCTCTCTCTCTTCTGCTCCTCCCCGGCTCACACTCTGTCTCTCTCAAAAATAAACATTAAAAAAATTTTTTAAAAATGAATGAAATGTATTATGGTAAAAATGGCTTTACTCTGGGGGACACAAGAGATGACAACTAAGAACCCAGACTCAAGTCCAATTGCCAGGTGTTCAAATCGTAGCTCTGGCCTCTGAGTGACTTTGGGAAGTACTTTTCTGGACCTGGTTTTCTCATCTATAAAATGAGGGTAATAAGACCAGTACTCAGGGGTGTATGGGCGGCTCAGTGGGTTAAGGGTCCGACTCTATCTCAGCTCAGGGCTTGATCTCAGGGTGGTGATTTCAAGCCCCACGTTGAATACCACAGTATGCATGAAGCCTACTTAACAAAAAAAAAAAAAAAAAAAGTACTCAAGAGCATATGGCAGTTGAGAACTAAATAACTGAATGTATATAATGTACCTACAACAGTGCTCTTAGTGAGCCCTATTGTTACTACTCAGGAATCTGTGCAAACTGACCAGCATCTAGTAATAGCACCTAGTACCTATGAACCTGAGGTCTGTTGCATGAATAAGCCCCTCCTATTTTCAAGGCACTAATTGAGGAGAAACATGTCTAAGGGAACCTAATGTAAGCTAGGACAAGGACTAAAACTCACCACAGTACAAGAACACCTGAAAGACCTTTGAATCCTTACATCTAACTCCAGTTCTGTTTAACTCAACCTGTTCCAGCTTCTATACGTCATGGTCCTAAATCTCTGTGATGTGGAGTTATATCCCACAAGGTGATCCAAATTCAATCTCCTCTTAACTTTGATAGTTGAAGGAGGTGACCTAGAAGGTGTATTTTGGTGCCTTTAAAGGATATCCTCCATTGTAAATAAATAGGCAGACATTTCAGTTTCCAGAATCAATCTTGTGACTCTGAGTCAGTCAGTGCACTAGGTTCCTAAAACTGCAAAGCTAGAAAATAGGTCTGGCCCCGTAATAACCTCAATGGGTACAAGGATACTCTCAGAGGTTCTTAATGTTAAACATCAGGGTTAAAACAGTCTGTTAAAAGGAAGATTTTTCTACACTAAGAAATTATAAATGATTCACTACCCAAAACGATAATGTAAAAAAGAAACAAGTGATGTAATGATAACTTTTAAAACTCAGCATTGTCTCTTTCTGAAGCAATATATACTTGCTTTGTAAAAGGCGGGGTAGGGGGAGATGGAAGCAAAATAAACGGGGAAGGAGGAGGAAATTACCTAAAATCCTATTAATCTGGTGATCCAACTCCAGAATTAAGGTAGTACTGCTTCCTCAGCTGTGTAAGAAAAACTAAATTTCTCATGTTTAAAATTGTATAGTATACAATTATCACTCCCACCTATTTGATGAGCAGAAACCCGGAAGTGTGTCAACACAACTCTGCTGACAAGACACGGGAGACAGGACCTGGCAGAACTAAAAAATGGCACATCCCCTGTGAAGGGCAGAATGACAACTAGCAGAAGGACAAATGCATTTACCCTTTGACCCAGACATGGTTCTGTGAACTGCTGCATGCGTCTGTGATTCACTGTACTACTGGTTACAAAAGCAAAATGTTATCAACAGCCCAAATGTCTATCAAGAGCGGATCATTAGGTAAACCGGAATCTCTAACAGTGAAAATCACATACAAAACGTAATCGGAACCATGGTGCCATGAAGGAGAATTGGGAACTCTCTACATATTGATACAGCTCGCCAGAACAGAGGAAGTGGAAAAAAGGCATGTTCAAATCAGTATGCCACCTTCTGTGTAAGAAAGGGATTAAAAAAATAAAAAAGATACATATCTCTACTTGTTTTTTGTATTTTGTATAAAGAAAACACTGGAAAAATAAATATGAAAGTGATAAAAGGGGCACCTGGATGGCTCAGTAGGTTAAGCATCCAACTTCCACTCAGGTCATGATCTCGAGGTTCATGGGTTCCGGGCTCTGTGCTGACAGCTCAGAGCCTGGAGCCTGCT